ATTTTATTATTATTAAGGAAAAAGATAAAAATGTCAGATGCAATATCTTTGATGTCACCGAATTGTGGAGCGTTCCTCATGCTAGAAATCAAAAGATTGTCTGCTCCAAACTTTATTGCATACGTTCAGTCACCATATGGCTGGGAAAGTGCTGAATATGGTGTTAAAAAAAAGGAATCTAAAACTGAAGTCCCACATGTAGCTTTATTATGAACTATGGTGTCGTACCACATTGTCGTACCACTTTGTCGGTCCACTGGTCTGTGTCACAGCCCCTGAACCACAATATTTTCCTTTCGGGTAGCTCTTGCTGCCATGCTAATTACATTGTGTATTATAGCCCTAACTGAAGCAAGTCTAGATTTACTCAGATTCCCACCTCACTGGGGCTCTTTTTCAATTTAAAAGGACTTATTGTTTCTATCAAAGACTAGGTGTTATTCTATCGGTACACTGACCCACTCTTGCCTGCAAGAGATAATTGTGAGGCAGTATCTCAGCTACACTCAAATGCTTCTTGATTACTTTTTTAATTTATTTTATCATTTTACAGCATTTCCATGTATTTTGTTGGTTATGGAAGAAGGTATATACCATAAGAAAGATTGTACAAGATACCTCTGACAGTTCTTGTGTTTGGGCTGTGCGTCATTTGCCGACATGGTCAATGCCGCAGGGCTTTAGTTTGTGATATAACTATCCATGTTCACACCACCTACAACCCAGACTCTGGATATGTGATACACATGCTTTAGTAGTGCATATAACATGATATAATAAATATCTTTCTAATAATCAATCTATGTGTGCTTGCCTTTTGTCAGTTTTGTATGTTACAGGAAATAGTATGGAATAATCTGTCAGTATTTGTGAGTATATTTGCCAGTATTGTTGTAGTAGCGATCCCATGAGTACCACATCTCAGGCAGCATGTGAGGAACATTACAAACAGCGAACATTGCACCACGACAGCTGAAAATCTTATATGAAAATATTGGAGTAGCTGTATGCTTTCTGTTGATCTTGACAGAGTCTCCAGGGTCAATTAAGTAGTCAAGTGGTTAAAGTGTTCAGTTGTTGCCCTGAAGGCCTGTGTTTCATTCCCCACCTGTTGCATATTTAAAGCATTGCTGAACTCAAGTACCAAGTACAAGAGGCAAGGAATGTCTAACATATCCTTTCAGAATCTCCTATTTATGAACGGGTTCAGAGATCTAGTTGGTAGTATCTCTTCCATATTCTCCTATTCATACACATTAATACAACAATATAGTTACGATTGCATATTCTATTGATAAACCTTGTGTACAGATATCTAGTGTCTGTTCCATAACCTCCTATTATTAAACATGTGTACAGAGATCGAGTATTCTCTTCCATACCCTCCTATTCATACACATGTGTACAGAGATCTAGCGTATCTAGCGTATCGTCCATACCATCCTATTCATACACATGTGTACAGAGGTCTAGTTTATCTTCCATACCCTCCTATTCATACACATGTGTACAGAGATCTAGTGTATCTTCCATACCCTCCTATTCATACACATGTGTACAGAGATCTAGTGTATCTTCCATACCCTCCTATTCATACACATGTGTACAGAGATCTAGCGTATCTTCCATACCCTCCTATTCATACACATGTCTACAGAGATCTAGTGTATCTTCCATACCCCCCTATTCATACACATGTGTACAGAGATCTAGCATATCTTCCATACCATCCTATTCATACACATGTGTACAGAGATATAGCGTATCTTCCATACCCTCCTATTCATACACATGTGTACAGAGATCTAGCGTATCTTCCATACCATCCTATTCATACACATGTGTACAGAGATCTAGTGTATCTTCCATACCATCCTATTCATACATATGTGTACAGAGATCTAGTGTATCTTCCATACCCTCCTATTCATACACATGTGTACAGAGATCTAGCGTATCTTCCATACCCTCCTATTCATACACATGTGTACAGAGATCTAGTGTATCTTCCATACCCTCCTATTCATACACATGTGTACAGAGATCTAGTGTATCTTCCATACCATCCTCTTATCTTCCATACCGTCCTCTTCATACACATGTGTACAGAGATCTAAGCACCCTCCTATTCATACACATGTGTACAGAGATCTAGCGTATCTTCCATACCCTCCTATTCATACACATGTGTACAGAGATCTAGCGTATCTTCCATACCATCCTATTCATACACATGTGTACAGAGATCTAGCATTATCTTCCATACCATCCTATTCATACACATGTACAGAGATCTAGCGTATCTTCCATACCCTCCTATTCATACACATATGTACAGAGATCTAGTGTATCTTCCATACCCTCCTATTCATACACATGTGTACAGAGATTTAGTGTATCTTCCATACCATCCTTTTTCATACACATGTGTACAGAGATCTAGTGTATCTTCCATACCGTCCTATTCATACACATGTACAGAGATCTAGCGTATCTTCCATACCATCCTATTCATACACATGTGAACAGAGATCTGTAGTGTATTCTTCATACCCTCCTATTCATACACATGTGTACAGAGATCTAGTGTATCTTCCATACCCTCCTATTCATACACACATGTGTACAGAGATCTAGCGTGTCTTCCATACCCTCCTCTTCATACACATGTGTACAGAGATCTAGTGTATCTTCCATACCCCCTATTCATACACATGTGTACAGAGATCTAGCATATCTTCCATACCATCCTATTCATACACATGTGTACAGAGATATAGCGTATCTTCCATACCCTCCTATTCATACACATGTGTACAGAGATCTAGCGTATCTTCCATACCGTCCTATTCATACACATGTGTACAGAGATTTACTGTATCTTCCATACCGTCCTTTTCATACACATGTGTACAGAGATCTAGTGTATCTTCCATACCGTCCTATTCATACACATGTGTACAGAGATCTAGCGTATCTTCCATACCATCCTATTCATACACATGTGAACAGAGATCTAGTGTATCTTCCATACCATCCCATTCATACATATGTGTACAGAGATCTAGTGTATCTTCCATACCATCCTATTCATACACATGTGTACAGAGATCTAGTTTATCTTCCATACCATCCTATTCATACACATGTGTACAGAGATCTAGCGTATCTTCCATACCGTCCTATTCATACACATGTGTACAGAGATCTAGTGTATCTTCCATACCCTCCTATTCATACACATGTGTACAGAGATCTAGCGTGTCTTCCATACCATCCTCTTCATACACATGTGTACAGAGATCTAGTGTATCTTCCATACCGTCCTATTCATACACATGTGTACAGAGATCTAGTGTATCTTCCATACTGTCCTCTTCATACACATGTGTACAGAGATCTAGCGTATCTTCCATACCCTCCTATTCATACACATGTGTACAGAGATCTAGCGTATCTTCCATACCCTCCTATTCATACACATGTGTACATAGATCTAGCGTATCTTCCATACCATCCTCTTCATACACATGTGTACAGAGATCTAGCGTATCTTCCATACCCTCCTATTCATACACATATGTACAGAGATCTAGTGTATCTTCCATACCCTCCTATTCATACACATGTGTACAGAGATTTAGTGTATCTTCCATACCATCCTATTCATACATATGTGTACAGAGATCTAGTGTATCTTCCATACCATCCTCTTCATACACATGTGTACAGAGATCTAGTTTATCTTCTATACCATCCTATTCATACACATGTGTACAGAGATCTAGCGTATCTTCCATACCCTCCTATTCATACACATGTGTACAGAGATCTAGCGTATCTTCCATACCCTCCTATTCATACACATGTGTACAGAGATCTAGCGTATCTTCCATACCATCCTCTTCATACACATTCATAGCGTATCTTCCATACCCTCCTATTCATACACATATGTGTACAGAGATCTAGCGTATCTTCCATACCATCCTCCATACACATGTGTACAGAGATCTAGCAGAGATCTAGCGTATCTTCCATACCATCCTATTCATACACATGTGTACAGAGATCTAGCATATCTTCCATACCCACCTATTCATATTGGGGCGGTTGGGTAGCCAAGTGGGTAGAGCGTTGGCTCGTCACGCCGAAAACCCGGGTTCGATTCCCCACATGGGTACAATGTTTGAAGCCCATTTCTGGTGTCCCCCACCGTGATGTTGCTGGATTATTGCAAAAAGCGGCGCAAAACCAAACTCGCTCGCCTATTCATACACATGTGTACAGAGATCTAGTGTATCTTCCATACCATCCTAGTCATACACATATGCACAGAGATCTAGCGTATCTTCTATACCGTCCTCTTCATACAGATGTTGTGGGGTAGCCTAATGGTTAAAGCGTTGGCTTGTCACGCCGAAAACCCGGGTTCGAATCCCCACATGGGTACAATGTGTGAAGCCCATTTCTGGTGTCCCCCTCCGTGATGTTGCTGGAATATTGCTAAAAGCGGCGTAAAACCAAACTCAGTCAGTCAGTCAGTCAGTCCATACCATCCTATTCATACAGATGCAGTAATATAGTCGCATTCACACATACCCCTAGTCGGAAACATGTGAAATAGACCCTATAGTCATAACACTACTATCCGTTTCAGTACACGTTTGGATATGTTTTTTATTCTTAAGACGTTTTAGACCTAATACCTGCTCCTTCAGTAATCCGATGAAGGCGCAAGATTTGGCTGTGTGTGAAACGTCGTATAAAGAATAGAAGAAGTTGTTATCCATAAAACGTGTCATGTATTCATGTTCGTCCAACAAAATGCCTTTCAAAACTTTATCCATCTGAGATGTTGATGACTACTCAATGGGCTATGACTATCTTTTACCGATATTCACAATATCGCACAATGTACCCATGTGTGGCGTGAAGAGTGGAAGCTTCAACCACTGACTGGTGACTCAGAACAAACATTTACCTGTCATTTCCCTGTGATGTGGACAGCATCAACGACCACTGCATCCCCGACAGCTGCATCATCAACTGCTGCAGGCAGTGGCCAGACTGCCACGGTCAGTGCCCGCGGGGCACGATGCGATGGTGGCACCTGTATAGGGCATGATGTGTGTTAGCTCCACTGTATCTTATAACGGCTGTATTATCATGTAGGGAATACGTAGGGCAGACAACTCCCTTGGCAATGGCTATTATGCATTGTGTGCTGTAGCGACAATAAGCTTATTATTCCATCTGCGGATTCGACCAAGTCCATTACAAACTAAAAGAAAAGTTTTGATTTGATTTCACTGTACTGAGTGGAGAGAATGAATAACAAAAAAGGTAACAATAAATAAACCTGCATCTAACAGGGTGATTGTTTTGAGTAGTATATTTTTAGTTACGGTAGCAGTGGTAGTAGCGGTGGTACCCGTGAAGATCCGGGTTAGAATCTTGTCGTAAGAGGCGACTTACGGGATCGGGTGGAATGTGGGTGCCGCGCGTTAAACAGCAAAACATAAAACAAACAAAACACACAAACAAACCAAAACAAACCCAAGTAGCGGTAGTAGTAATGGCAGCAGTAGCATCAGTATTGTTAGGTAGTAGTGATGGGTTTAGCAGCAGCGGTAGTAGTACGTGAAACAGTAACACTAAAAGTAGTAACTGTTAGTGTAAAAGTCGCAGTAGCCGCAGTAAAAGTAATAGCATCAGTAGTAGTATTAGTAGTAGTAGTAGTGGTAGTAGAAGACGTAATAGTAGTAGTAGTAGAAGACGTAATAGTAGCAGTAGTAGTAGTAGTAGTGGTAGTAGAAGACGTAATAGTAGCAGTAGTAGTAGTAGTAGTAGTAGTAGTGGTAGTAGTAGACGTAATAGTAGTAGTAGTAGTGGTAGTAGTAGTAGTAGTAGTAGTAGACGTAATAGTAGTAGCAGTAGTAGTAGTAGAAGACGTAATAGTAGTAGTAGTAGTAGTAGTAGAGTAGAGACGTAATAGTAGTAGTGATGTAGTAGTAGTAGTAGAGTGAGTAGATAGACGTAAGTAGTAGTAGTAGTGTAGTAGTAGTAGAAGACGTAATAGTAGCAGTAGTAGTAGTGGTAGTAGAGACGTAATAGTAGTAGTGGTAGTAGTGAGTAGTAGTAGTAGACGTAGTAGTAGTAGTAGTAGTGGTAGTAGTAGTAATAGTAGCAGTAGTAGTAGTAGTAGTAGAGTAATAGTAGTGGTAGTAGTAGTAGTAGTAGAGAGTAGTAGTAGTAGTAGTAGTGGTAGTGTAGTAGTAGTAGACGTAATAATGCTGCAGTAGTAGTAGTAGTAGTAGAAGACGCAATAGTAGCAGTAGTAGTAGTAGTAGTAGAAGACGTAATAGTAGCAGTAGTAGTAGTAGTAGTAGAAGACGTAATAGTAGTAGTAGTAGTAGTAGAGACGTAATAGTAGCAGTAGTAGTAGTAGTAGTAGAAGACGTAATAGTAGCAGTAGTAGTAGTAGTAGTAGTAGAAGACGTAATAGTAGCAGTAGCAGTAGTAGTAGTGGTAGTAGAAGACGTAATAGTATCAGTAGTAGTGGTGTCTGCCTGTAGGTGAAATAGTAACAACAGTAGAGGACTAGCAGTTGGTTGGTTGGTTGGTTGGTTGCAGCAATATTCTAGCTATATGGCGACGGTCTGTAAATGATCGTGTCTGGACCAGACAATCCAGTGATCAATAGCAATGAGGATACGATGACATGTGTGAACCAAGTCAGCGAGCCTGACCATCCGATCCCGTTAGTCGCCGCATGTGACAAACGTGGGCTGCTGAAGACCAATTCTAACCCGGATCTTCACGGGTCTCCAGCAGTTCGTGGTGAATCAGTAGTAGCCGTAGAAGCTCTACCTATGGGCTAAATACGGTAATACACTATAGGTTAGATACAGTAATGAACAATCCCCGTGGATAGTTTTTTAAACGATTTTGCAACATTATGTTAATTATGTCAATTACAGCATTATGTTGCACATGATTCCCCTACTGGCGATGCTGTAGATGACATGATCCCAACCAGCACGTTACTGGTCATCTGAACATCACAAAAGTTTTCTCCCTCTCAAATTCAATCTCAGGAAAAACTGCAATTATCGAAAAAGACCCTGCTAAAATCATTTTATTCATCACACCAGCAAAACAATTGTCACACAAATATATTTGTTAGTTTTTTTTCTTGAACAACTCCATATGAAGTTGTAAGAAATTAACTGTTACAGTTTATAAGAGAAAATATGTTCCAAAGTAGTTTATCAATGACTAAATGATAAGGTCTAACATCCATCTAATGTCAACCGAGAGAAGAACTTTATAAAAAGCTATTTAAATAGCAAAACAATAGCTAAGTCATAGTTGTCTAGTGGCGAATACGAGATGTCCATGCAACATTCGGCTATGCCATTCTACAAACTTATCCCATTTAACTTCGGTAAACTATTACCTCAATATAAAATCTTATACTGTTGAACTGTTAAAAATTTCGTATGCGTTTACACAGTCTAGACATATAGGGCTGTCAAAACATCCTTTGATTAATGGATTCAAATACACGCATCAACTGCGATGCCAAAGCTGAACGAAACAAATCAAATCTGTGACATCTATATCTCAATTAGGTTCGATCACAAAGGCGTCCTTCAAGCCACTACACAAAGCAATGGCTGACTTGGATGATGTCATCTATCCTGCTGTCGAATGATGCACGCTTACAAGACGGGGGCTGTAAGATGTGCTAACAGGTGACTAACGGACACCGGTCAGCGATTGACCATCGATCACTTCTGACTTGACTCGACAAAGGACCCCTTCACTCGCGGGGGTATATAACGCAGGGGGAACTCATGGTCGACACATCACTACTGGTAAGTTCAGTTCTACTCGTCTGCTCCTTCATTCAACTCTCAGAGTAAGAGTGTTGGCAACGCAGCCATTCTAGAGTGAGTGAGTTAGTTATGTTTTAAGCCGCTTTTAGCAACATTCCAGCTATATCACGGCGGTCTGTTAAAAGCTGCTTAAAACATAACTCACTCACTCTAGAATCGCTTCATCTTAAATATACTGCCTGTTAAATCTATTGTGTGTACTGGTATAATTCAGGATGTTCTGAAGTTGTACTTTATCACATGCAAATGTTGCTCAGTTTCTACAGTTGTACTGTTTTTGATATTCTTAAGTTGTGCTTTATGGCATGCAAATGTTGCTCAGTTTCTACAGTTGTACTGTTTTTTTTTACAGATATTCTTAAGTTGTGCTTTATGGCATGCAAATGTTGCTCAGTTTCTACAGTTGTACTGTTTTTGGTTTTACAGTTGCCATGATGAAGTTTCTATGTGTTGGAGTGCTGGCTGCCGTTCTCGTCCTCGCTACGGGTAAGTCAGCACAAGACTCTTCCATACTTTACCTTTGACAAGTAATCAGGTTGTGTATGTCCTGTGATAACAAGTTGAACATTGGATGGTTCTCGTGGCTTTAAAAGTATATCAACATCGACGTGTCAGAGACTACAACAATGTATGGATTTAACGTCTAGATTTACGCACAGTTCGTTCATTACACGTGGAACGGGGATATATTCAGGAAGCACTACTTGCCCCATCACAAAAGTATGATTTCGGATCTGCATATCTTCTTAATTCATAAGTTAGTTTCCAGGCACGGAGTTTCTACCTAGGCTCCTGTATCAAATACCCATGTATCAAACGTTTTCATTTATTTTAGGCCAACCTCAGCCAGGAACTGGTTCTGGCCAGCCTACTGATCCAGGTCATGCTCCGAGCGGACAAGCGACAGGTAGTGAACCCAACCCCACTGCGTCCGGACCCCTGGCAAAGGCTGTTAAAGCAATGACTGCAATGTCAGCGACTACCAATATAGGAATGGGAGGACAAGCATCTCCGTCGACATCCGAAATGGGGGGAAACGCGCCTACCAGTGGTATGGGTGGAATTATGTCCGATATGTTGAACCCAATGGCTGGTATGTCCAATTCTATGTCAAACTCAATGGCTGGTATGTCCAACTCCATGACCAGCGGTATGTCCAACCCCATGGCCACTATGTCCAACCCAATGGCTGGTATGTCCAGCTCCATGACCGGCGGTATGTCCAACCCAATGGCCACTATGTCCAACCCAATGGACAACTTTATGGCTGGTATGTCCAACCCAATGGCTGGTATGTCCAACCCAATGGCCGGTATGTCCAACCCAATGGCTGGTATGTCTAACTCCATGACTAGCGGTATGTCCAACCCAATGGCTGGTATGTCCAACTCCGTGAGTAGCGGTATGTCCAACCCAATGACCGGTATGTTCAACCAAATGGCCAGCGTTTCCAACTCCATGACCGGCGGTATGTCCAAACCAACTGGCGGTATGTCCAACTCCGTGAGTAGCGGTATGTCCAACCCAATGACTGGTATGTTCAACCCAATGACCGGTATGTTCAACCAAATGGCCAGCGTTTCCAACTCCATGACCGGCGGTATGTCCAAAACAACTGGCGGTATGTCCAACTCCGTGAGTAGCGGTATGTCCAACCCCATGTCCGGTATGTCCAACCCTATGACAGGTATGTCCAACCCCATGTCCGGTATGTCCAACCCCATGTCCGGTATGTCCAACCCTATGTCCGGTATGTCCAACCCTATGTCCGGTATGTCCAATCCAATGGGCCCCATGATGCCAGGAGGTATGTCTGGTAACACTGGTGCTATGTCTGGACCTCTGGACGCCATCGCCGCCATGACAGGCCAAAACATTGCCAGCAAGTTTGCTTTCGGTAAAGGCAAACTTCCACATCCAGCAGGACCATCCATGACTGCAGCCCCCGGATCATCCACCAAGGCTAATAAGAGCCCGATGGCTGCATTACTCCCCTTACTGCTCCGCGGAGGTATGTCACCCGAGACAAAGAAGATGATGATGATGATGACAATGATGTCCAGCCTGGGCGGCAGCGGTTCCAGTGGCTCCAAGCCAAACCCAATGATGAGCATGATGCCTCTCTTGATGGCAACGGGCGGCGGAGAGGGCATGAACCCCCTGATGCTGATGGCCCTGTCCCAAGGAGGAGGGTCATCCTCCATGATGATGCCGATGATGATGGCGATGATGTCCGGTGGTGAGATGAACATGAGCACCATGCTCCCTTATATGATGATGCAGATGCAAAGCCAAGGTCACGCCAAGGGCGGCGCCTGGGGAGGTCAAAAGTCATCTACCCCTATGATGGGAATGAACAGAGTTGTTTAAAAACGTTCACCTCTTGATGGTTTAGACGTGTGGAGATTAGACGATTCGGTCTATTGTCTTACACTTATCGATTGCTCACTGTGTGCCAATACATGTTTGTGTGAAGTAGGACCTGCAAAACGACTATGAGACAATGATGAAGGAATACAAATCTAGCATGTTTACGTTATTTTGTACCAACTTTATCAACATCGAGATGTGCATGCCACTGTGTGGTTTTACACATAATTGTTTGTATATTTGTTAACAAGTTAATAAATGTATCTTTCACCAAAATTCTGTAGTTCAGTTCTTTGAGTTTCTGAAGAAAGTGACCGAATGATAGCAGCGTATGTCCATTTGGCTACCACTGCCTCTACTACTCCTACTGTCACTGTAGTGATACTGCTACTACTACTACTACTTCACAGGCCACAGGGGTATCTGGAACAGGGCTCACTACCATGTAAAGTCTCACGTACTCACTCACTCACTCACCCATTCACTTACTTACCCATTCACTCACTCACCCATTCACTCACTCGCTCACTCACTCAACCACCCACACACCCACCCACCCAACCACGCATGCATTCACTCACTCAGTCAAGTTTAATTACGAATATTCTACATTCTGATAACATATATTCTCCCAAAAAAGAAACGCATCATGAAAATAGCAATTTCATGTAGCAATAAATTAAAACGTGATTCATTTTACAAAAGGTTTTGCACTGTTTATGAGTCCTATGGTGTTTATGTTTTGAAACATAAAAACAAAACGCACCATCCGTAAAATACCCGTATTTAACAGCATGATTTTCAATTTCGGCTTGAAGTGTCACAGAATACACAATTCACATGCAATGCACGTGGAAGTTGGGATCAGATAGTCTCAATGATGGGTATAAGGTTGATCGCTGTCTGTCGATTATTCACTGTATTTTGAATATTGTCGACGAACGCAAAATGCCACGTCTAAGTGAAGCCAACCGTCATATCGCCATTGGTTTGCTTGAAGCTGGCCAGTCTCAACGTGCAGTTGCCCGACGCATGAATGTTCACCAAAGCACCATTTCAAGGCTCTGGAGAGATATCGCCGGCAGAATGCGGTAGCAGATGCCCCTCGTAGTGGGCGACCTCGATTGACCACTGCGGCGCAAGATCGCTACATCCGGGTACATCACCTGCGTCATCGAACAGCTACGGCGACCAGTACCGCTCGACAAATACCCAGATTGAGGAGGCTTTCTGCACTGACCGCCAGGAACAGGTTGAGAGAGGCTGGTCTACGTGCCAGAAGACCTTATTTTGGCCCTGTGCTTCGACAACAACATCGTCGACATCGAGTGCACCAACGTTCAGGCCTGGAACCTACCGAATTGGCGTAGAATCTGGTTCAGTGATGAATCACGATTTCTATTGGAACGACGCGATGGAAGAATGCGGGTGTACAGACGTCGACGTGAACGTTTCGCAGACGCTTGCGTTCCCCAGGTGGACAGATTCGGCCGGGGAAGTGGTATGATGTGGGGAGCGATTACCTGCCGTAGGAGAAGTGATTTGGTGATGATCCAGGGCAACCTGACAGCTCAACGGTACTGTGACGAAATCCTACGCCCACACCTCCTTCCAATCATTGATCGCCAGAGGGAGTTGTTTCAACAGGACAATGCCAGGCCCCACACAGCACGTCACACTAGAGACTTCCTCCAGAACCAAAACATCAATGTGCTCCCCATGCCCTCAAGATCACCGATCGAACATCTGTGGGATGCCCTGGACAGACGGATAACCCTCAGCCCCAGACACTTCAACTCGCACAGGCACTAAAGGCAGAGTGGGCTGCGATTGGGCAACACGAGATTCTGAGACTTATTCGTTCGATGCCGAGTCAATGCCGTGCAGTTCTGGATGCCCACGGTGGTCACACGAGGTATTGACTTCAGCGCCACCACACGTCTCCATGTGACACTCAAACTGACTTTCCTCGAGTTGGTGCCAAAGACTGATAAGTCTGCATTCCCAGTGTGCAATTTCGCTATATTTCATTGACTCGTAAAGCCTACAAGATGTTTCAAAATAACCATACAAATACAGTTTAAATTCCTATATGCGTTTCTTTTTTGGGAGAGTATATATAAATATAAAGGCTGTGTATTGGCAAATAAATTGTATTGCAACATTTGCAATTTTGGTACCCGGATTGCGATACATATTGCGTTATATTGGGAACTTAAGTGTTTGACAGTGAGTGACACTAAATGTAGGTGTCATGGTTCTGATAATAGTAATCTCAAAGTTAGGTTGCATAGTCAGGAATTCTAGTGTCTTTTTATACCATTTATAGTATTACAGAATACCGTTTTGTCATTGAATAACGGAAAACATCTGTTGTGAATGAAAGCCTGTGAAGATTTTAATTTAAACCATAAAGATAATCACAAAAACTTCATAGATGTACGTAATATACCGGTTCCCAGAAAGAAATATTACAATACGGATCGTAAGCGTATTGCAGTATACCGGTATTACTGTGCTGTCATCATGAATATGGACAGACTGAAAGACTAAAGGTCATGTAACAGAATATACGCGGCACCTTTCAGATGACCACTGTCCTTTGTATGGTGCTGGCTATCATAACTCTGTATTTATAAATCACCATCTTTATAAAATGAAAATATCCAAATACACTGTACTTTTGCAGTACTATTTATTGAAAAAAATATTAGGGGCATATATCACCTAAATGTACGGACAAAGAAGAGTTATTATTTCGGGATTTAGTATGGGCTCTCGGTGATGCCAATGTTGCTATGTTACGATACATCAATCAAGACAACTTGGGTGACTAGACAGAACGTAGTTTTGAGGTAAGTCACCAGTTGCACGGACGCTGCTGAGGACGTAGTGACGATGTAACAGGTAGGGTTGCACGGACGCTGCTGAGGACGTAGTGACGATGTAACAGGTAGGGTTGCACGGACGCTGCTGAGGACGTAGTGACGATGTAACAGGTAGGGTTGCACGGACGCTGCTGAGGACGTAGTGACGATGTAACAGGTAGGGTTGCACGGACGCTGCTGAGGACGTAGTGACGATGTAACAGGTAGGGTTGCACGGACGCTGCTGAGGACGTAGTGACGATGTAACAGGTAGGGATTACACTGCATGGGTGGATCCAGAGGGGAGGTCCCCTGAAATGCTGTTCATAGCAGCATCAACCTGAATCAAAGACGAATGTGCCATTGCTCTTGTAATAAGATGTAGACATTCATTTGGAATAGGGACTTCATGAACCCTTTTTTATGTATTGGATTCAAGATATTCGAGTTAAGAATAGGCTATATAACGAATATGAGGAATAGTCGCAGCTAGCGGTCAATAGTACGGAAGCGAAGTAGGGCCACGGTGATTTTGTTTTGTCTCAGTATCTCCAACGTAAGACTTAGTATATCCTACGTACGTAGGTCATAGTATCCCCTACGTAGGATTTAGTATCTCCTACGTAGGATTTAGTATCTCCTAGGTAGGACTTAGTATCTCCTACGTAGGACGTAAATTAGTAGCTCTTACGTATGACTTAGTATCTCCTACGTACGACGTAGGACTTAGTATCTCTTAGGTAGGACTTAGTATCTCCTGGTAGTCTAGACTGCGGACTTTGTGAAGGGGAGACCGGGGTCAATTGTAACACGGGGCAATTGTAACAAGGGCGATTACAAGGGCAAGTTCTCGCTCAAGCATAGTGTAGGTGCGTAGCGTTATTTCCCTTTGCTTTCCTGCAGTACACATCCAGGCGATTTTCAGCTGCTCGCTCATGGCGAGATACAGTAGACGAAAAATCGTTTTTCACATAAGAAAGTAAATTTTTCACAAAACGTAATAAAACGTTCTTAATGCAGTAAATGTTGCTTGGTATGAAATTAACTTTTCAAGTGTAAAATTGAGGTATTACGACTTATTTTGAAGTAGAAATATTTGAGAAGCCCAAAGTTGTTAACATGTGACGTGGCATGAAACATGGCTACTAGCATCGGGGGCAATTGTAACACTCTGTTACAACTGCCCCCATGTAATATTCCCTTATGATTATGAAGCAAATTATGATGTCGGTTTTATGTTAGTTCTTTACTAGTTTCATCATAGTAGAACATTTTCAGTCTTATGTTGATAGTATCAGCCCTCGGGTGAAAGTTTTGGGTGTTAGTCTTTGTATTATATTTTGTGCAAACGAAAACAAGAATTTTAAACTCAAAACATTTTAAATGTCGATGGTGACAAAGATTTAATGTTAATCCATTTCCACCTCAATTGATCAAGATAATATCTTTCCACATTTCATTTCGATTCTATTTGGAAAATGAACAGATTGTTACATTAGACCTTCTTTGTTACAAGTGCCCAATCCGCCTGTTACAATTTTTCCGTGCTGGGGGTCAATTGTAACACTTGCACTCATTGCATTTGATACGTAATGACTTTGTAACGACATGAAAGTGAACTTGAAATGATTCCGAGGTTTAAAGCCAAGAGGCCAATGTATTGGTTAGTACCGATAAACTTTGTGAGCGGTCGACTAATATCAATTACAACAACTTAAGTAAAAAGTGTTACAATTGACCCCGGTCTCCCCTACCCCTCTGATAAGTGTAAATTGGCATGGCTCCCACGGCCGAAAGCAATGAACACACAATGCCATTCAGAAAGTGGTCAAATGTAATATGTTATATTTGGGATTACACTTTCTTAGTAATTTACACTTATCAGAGAGGTACACAAAGTCCGCAGTCAAGACTACCAGTTGTCCAACTTTCATTTTTGTGGAAGCCGCGCGGTGGCTGAGCAGGTTAGGCGGCTGACTTTGTGTCCTGGCGATTAGGTGCCTGACTCTGAGGGTGAGGGTTCGAATCCCGGATGGGACTCAACCAAACAACAGTACTAGAATTTGTACTTTACTAAGAAAGTGTAATCCCAAATATAACATATGTTACACTTGACCACTTTCTAAATGGCATTTTGTAATCATGTCTGGCGTTGGTAAGTCATCACCAGTAAACAGTAGAGCTGTATATCGTGGCCTAAGTGGCGTGACGATATATCCCGATACCAGAGACGATATATCATGAACGATATATCCCGATACCAGAGACGATATATTATGAACGTATTAAATAGGAACCTGCGAGACAATTATCATCACGAT